GACTGATGTGGTGTACTCCTCAATGCCATCGGAAGAATCCTGGAACATGTTCCAGTCTGTGCTCGCAAAACAGTCCTGTAGCATAGCATCTGCATCATCTGACCACTTCCTTATTAACCGAGTCACTGGTGCTTCCTGCTTTAGTTTTTGCTTATAAGCAGGAATCACGAGGATAGAATTATGGTCAGATTTGCCAAATGGAGGGCGAGGGAGAGCTTTGTACGCGTCTCTGTGTGTGGAGTAAAGGTGGTCTAGAGTTTTTTTTCCTCTGGTTGCACATTTAACATGCTGGTAGAAATTAGGTAGAACGGATTTAACTTTCCCTGCATTAAAGTCCCCGGCCACTAGGAGCGCTGCCTCTGGATGAGCGTTTTCCTGTCTGCTTATGGCCTTATACAGCTCATTGAGTGCGGACTTAGTGCCAGCATCGGTTTGTGGTGGTAGGTAGACAGCTACAAAAAATATAGAAGAAAACTCTCTTGGTAGATAGTGTGGTCTACAGCTTATCATGAGATACTCTACCTCAGGCCAGCAAAACCTTGAGACTTCCTTAGTATTAGATTTTATGAACCAGCTGTTGTTTACAAATATACACAGACCGCCACCCCTTGTCTTACTGGAGTCAGCCGTTCTATCCTGCTGATGTATCATATATCCTGCCAGCTGTATGTTATCCATGTCGTCGTTCAGCCACGACTCGGTGAAACATAAGATATTACAGTTGTTAATGTCCCGTTGGAAGGATAACCTTAGTCTTAGGTCGCCCATTTTGTTCTCAAATTATTGAACATTGGCTAATAGGATTGATGGAAGAGGCAGATTACTCGCTCGCTGTCGGATCCTTACAAGGCACCCCGACCTACGTCCACGATATCTCTGTCTCTTTCTCATGCGAATGACAGGGATTTGGGCATTGTCAGGTGTCTGTAGAATATCCTTCGTGTCCGACTCATTGAATAAATTGTTTTCGTCCAATACGAAATACAATTCATAATGTCATTAAAACCCACATGGACTACGATAGAATCGATGTCCATGTCCTGGCGTATTGCATTCGGGAGCAGCTTAGTAATGTCATTTACTCGAGCTCCGGGACACCAGGAACAGTCACACGTCTTACCATGGAGCTGCCCAAAATCCACTTCACAGGATGGTGCAGGCCTCCGACAGCTTGATCCAGAGCTTTGTATTTCGGAAGGTTGCCGACGTCGACTTCGACGGTTGTGTGATATAGATGGTGTGATATAGGTGGTGTGATATAGATGGTGTGATATACAGTGGGGGAAAAAAGTATTTAGTCAGCCACCAATTGTGCAAGTTCTCCCACTTAAAAAGATGAGAGAGGCCTGTAATTTTCATCATAGGTACATGTCAACTATGACAGACAAAAGGAGAAAACATTTCCAGAAAATCACATTGTAGTATTTTTTATGAATTTATTTGCAAATTATGGTGGAAAATAAGTATTTGGTCAATAACAAAAGTTTCTAAATACTTTGTTATATACCCTTTGTTGGCAATGACACAGGTCAAACGTTTTTTGTAAGTCTTCACAAGGTTTTCACACACTGTTGCTGGTATTTTGGCCCATTCCTCCATGCAAATCTCCTCTAGAGCAGTGATGTTTTGGGGCTGTCACTGGGCAACACGGACTTTCAACTCCCTCCAAAGATTTTCTATGGGGTTGTGATCTGGAGACTGGCTAGGCCACTCCAGGACCTTGAAATGCTTCTTACGAAGCCACTCCTTCATTGCCCAGGCGGTGTGTTTGGGATCATTGTCATGCTGAAAGACCCAGCCACGTTTCATCTTCAATGCCCTTGCTGATGGAAGGAGGATTTCACTCAAAATCTCACGATACATGGCCCCATTCATTCTTTCCTTTACACGGATCAGTCGTCCTGGTCCCTTTGCAGAAAAACAGCCCCAAAGCATGATGTTTCCACCCCCATGCTTCACAGTAGGTATGGTGTTCTTTGGATGCAACTCAGCATTCTTTGTCCTCCAAACACGACGAGTTGAGTTTTTACCAAAAAGTTCTATTTTGGTTTCATCTGACCATATGACATTCTCCCAATCCTCTTCTGGATCATCCAAATGCACACTATCAAACTTCAGACGGGCCTGGACATGTACTGGCTTAAGCAGGGGGACACTTCTGGCACTGCAGGATTTGAGTCCCTGGCGGCGTAGTGTGTTACTGATGGTAGGCTTTGTTACTTTGGTCCCAGCTCTCTGCAGGTCATTCACTAGGTCCCCCCGTGTGGTTCTGGGATTTTTGCTCACCGTTCTTGTGATCATTTTGACCCCACGGGGTGAGATCTTGCGTGGAGCCCCAAATCGAGGGAGATTATCAGTGGTCTTGTATGTCTTCCATTTCCTAATAATTGCTCCCACAGTTGATTTCTTCAAACCAAGCTGCTTACCTATTGCAGATTCAGTCTTCCCAGCCTGGTGCAGGTCTACAATTTTGTTTCTGGTGTCCTTTGACAGCTCTTTGGTCTTGGCCATAGTGGAGTTTGGAGTGTGACTGTTTGAGGTTGTGGACAGGTGTCTTTTATACTGATAACAAGTTCAAACAGGTGCCATTAATACAGGTAACGAGTGGAGGACAGAGGAGCCTCTTAAAGAAGAAGTTACAGGTCTGTGAGAGCCAGAAATCTTGCTTGTTTGTAGGTGACCAAATACTTATTTTCCACCATAATTTGCAAATAAATTCATAAAAATCCTACAATGTGATTTTCTGGAGAATAAAAATCTCAATTTGTCTGTCATAGTTGACGTGTACCTATGATGAAAATTACAGGCCTCTCTCATCTTTTTAAGTGGGAGAACTTGCACAATTGGTGGCTGACTAAATACTTTTTTCCCCCACTGTTGGTGGTGTGATATAGGTGGTGTGATAAGGGTTGTGTGATAAGGGTGGTGTGATAAGGGTGGTGTGATAAGGGTGGTGTGATAAGGGTGGTGTGATATAGGTGGTGTGATATAGGTGGTGTGATATAGGTGGTGTGATAAGGTTGGTGTGATAAGGGTGGTGTGATAAGGGTGGTGTGATATAGGGTGGTTGTGATATAGGTGGTGTGATAAGGGTGGTGTGATATAGGTGGTGTGATATAGGTGGTGTGATAAGGGTGGTGTGATATAGGTGGTGTGATAAGGGTGGTGTGATAAGGGTGGTGTGATATAGGTGGTGTGATAAGGGTGGTGTGATAAGGGTGGTGTGATAAGGGTGGTGTGATATAGGTGGTGTGATAAGGGTGGTGTGATAAGGGTGGTGTGATATAGGTGGTGTGATATAGGTGGTGTGATAAGGGTGGTGTGATAAGGGTGGTGTGATATGGGTGGTGTGATAAGGGTGGTGTGATATAGGTGGTGTGATAAGGGTGGTGTGATAAGGGTGGTGTGATATAGGTGGTGTGATATAGGTGGTGTGATTAGGGTGGTGTGATAAGGGTGGTGTGATAAGGGTGGTGTGATATAGGTGGTGTGATAAGGGTGGTGTGATAAGGGTGGTGTGATATAGGTGGTGTGATAAGGGTGGTGTGATATAGGTGGTGTGATAAGGGTGGTGTGATAAGGGTGGTGTGATATAGGTGGTGTGATATAGGTGGTGTGATAAGGGTGGTGTGATAAGGGTGGTGTGATATGGGTGGTGTGATAAGGGTGGTGTGATATAGGTGGTGTGATAAGGGTGGTGTGATATAGGTGGTGTGATATAGGTGGTGTGATAAGGGTGGTGTGATAAGGGTGGTGTGATAAGGGTGGTGTGATATAGGTGGTGTGATATAGGTGGTGTGATATATGTGGTGTGATAAGGATGGTGTGATAAGGGTGGTGTGATATAGGTGGTGTGATATTAGGTGTGAGGAGAAAGTCAGTCACATTTCCACGGTCTCTTCCACAGGCAGATCCCAACGCTGGCAGTTCATCTCTGAGCTTTGAACACTTTGGAATGAGGTCTTGTGTTTTCAGCTTATTACGATAATAGTGTCTGTTTTAAGCCACGTCGCCCTGGAATGCCTGGAGCATCCGCTTAACCAATCAGCATAGCAGCTCCGATTAACCAATCTTAATTAAGAAGCTTTTGTGTTTCTCCTTCATCAGACCTTGCCTGGCAGTTTTTTTTCTTTCTCAGTTTTGAAGTCTAAATGACTGCCTCTTCCTTCCATTTGACTGTTCAGGGCTTCACAGCTTCACTAACACATTATACAGCAGCACTGCACACCTTAATGTTGTGTCTCATATAGCGCCAAGTGAAGGGAGAGAGAGGAGAGAGGAGAGAGAGAGAGAGAGAGAAGGGAGAGAGAGGAGGGAGGAGAGAGGAGAGAGAAGAGAGAGAGAGAGAGAGGAGAGGGAGAGAGAGAAGGGAGAAAGAGGAGAGAGGAGAGAGAGGAGAGAGAGAGAAGGGAGAGAGAGGAGGGAGGAGAGAGGAGAGAGAGGAGAGGGAGAGAGAGAAGGGAGAGAGAGGAGAGAGGAGAGAGGAGAGAGAGAGAAGGAAGAGAGAGGAGAGAGGAGAGAGAGTAGAGGAGAGAGAAGGGAGAGAGAGGAGAGAGGAGAGAGAGAGAAGGGAGAGAGAGAGAGTGAGAGAGAGAGAGAGCGAGAGAGAGAGAAGGGGGAGAAAGAGAGGATAGGGGGAGAGGAGAGGGAGAAGGGGGAGAGAGAGGAGGAGGAGAGAGATTGTGTCAACGCAGGCTTTCAAGTTCACATTTCTCTCTGTATTTGATATCCTCCTTGTTGTCACAGCAATTTCCCCAGTTGTTCATCAGACTTAAATGTTTCTCTCATTTCCATTATGATAATCTTGCCCAATCCTCACCTGAGCACCTCACTGAACATGAGGAATACATTTAGTTTCCTCTCAAGTACAGTATGTTCAATAAAAAGAGGCAAAAGAAGAAACATTCTCCTGGTGCTATATATTATATTAAACACTGTACAATACGTTGTATAAATGTTATTTTCTGAAAGATAACAAGACAACGTTCTAACACTGTGTAATGGTTGTAGACGACGTGTCTTGGTTGTTTGCTGTGAACACATATGCTTCAATTAAGCTTACAGCTGAAGTTATAATTAGGTTGGAAATACAGTAGAGCTCGTGTTAGATTTGAAACAGCCTTTTTAAAGCTTCACATCTGGTGCGACTAGCCAGTGATTCCAGGCCTCAGGTCCCTGCTAGCTAATTACTGCTAACACCTAACAGCTTATTACCCTGTATTATGATTCAACTGTATCTGGACTGGACCAGGAACCACTCCTGAAGCAGAGAGGCTGTGAGGTAGAGAGGATCATTGCTAGATTAGGATGACTACTTGCAGTTAAACACTTCAAATCCAGTAATGTATAGGGGGACATATTATAGTAGATTTGTAGTAGGTCATAAAGTGGAATAGTAGTGGAACAAAAGAGAATCCACATTGTGTCCCTATTTTGAAATAACTTTAGAAATTACAGAATGTGGCTTTAATGTGTTTTATATTATTTGATGCATCCAGTTGCTCTGCTGTTTGAATATTATGGTACAGTGGTATAGTGCATTACATAGTTCATGTCCTCTAACCTTCTCTTCCTGTATCTCTCTGTGTTTCCTCTGTAGGTGTGGTGCAGGAAGGTCCAGCTGCAATTCCCAGAGACAGAGCTGATAGAGTGGGGGGAGGGGGTCCATGAGGAGAAGTTCTCCCCCAGCGGAGCCAGAGCCAGTCCCAGAGTCTTCAACCCCCTGAGGCTGTTCGCTAGGGGGGTCCCTGGAGCCCCCGGGGCCGTCAGGGCTCCCAGCCTGAAACACAACCCCATCAGGGACATGACATACCTAGAGAACATGGAGGACTTCTGGGATTGGTTATCCAACCAGACAGATGTTCAGGCCAGCCAGGCCAGAACTAAGCGACGACCCATCGTCAAGACGGGCAAGTTCAAGAAGATGTTTGGTTGGGGAGACTTCCACTCCAACATCAAGACTGTCAAGCTCAACCTGCTGATCACCGGGAAGATCGTAGACCACGGTAACGGAACGTTCAGCGTCTACTTCCGCCACAACTCCACTGGCCTGGGGAACGTGTCGGTGAGTCTGGTGCCACCGTCTAAAGTGGTGGAGTTTGAGATGGCTCAGCAGTCCACACTGGAGACCAAAGACTCTAAAGCTTTCAACTGTCGCATCGAGTATGAGAAGACAGACCGAAACAAGAAGACGGCTCTGTGCAGCTTCGACTCCTCCAAGGTGTGTTACCAGGAACAGACACAGAGCCACGTCTCCTGGCTCTGCTCCAAGCCCTTTAAAGTAATCTGCATCTACATCGCCTTCTACAGCGTGGACTACAAACTGGTGCAGAAGGTCTGCCCGGACTACAACTACCATAGTGACACTCCCTACTCCTCCACTGGCTGAAGGTCTGCTCAGACTACAACTACCATAGTGACACTCCCTACTCCTCTACTGGCTGAAGGTCTGCCCAGACTCCAACTACCATAGTAACACTCCCTACTCCTCCACTGGCTGAAGGTCTGCCCAGACTCCAACTACCATAATGACACTCCCTACTCCTCTACTGGCTGAAGGTCTGCCCGGACTCCAACTACCATAGTAACACTCCCTACTCCTCTACTGGCTGAAGGTCTGCCTGGACTACAACTACCATAATGACACTCCCTACTCCTCCACTGGCTGAAAGTCTGCCCAGACTCCAACTACCATAATGACACTCCCTACTCCTCTACTGGCTGAAGGTCTGCCCAGACTCCAACTACCATAGTAACACTCCCTACTCCTCCACTGGCTGAAAGTCTGCTCAGACTACAACTACCATAGTAACACTCCCTACTCCTCCACTGGCTGAAGGTCTGTCCAGACTCCAACTACCATAATGACACTCCCTACTCCTCTACTGGCTGAAGGTCTGCCCAGACTCCAACTACCATAGTAACACTCCCTACTCCTCCACTGGCTGAAGGTCTGCCTGGACTACAACTACCATAGTAACACTCCCTACTCCTCCACTGGCTGAAGGTCTGCCTGGACTACAACTACCATAGTAACACTCCCTACTCCTCCACTGGCTGAAGGTCTGCCTGGACTACAACTACCATAGTAACACTCCCTACTCCTCCACTGGCTGAAGGTCTGCCTGGACTACAACTACCATAGTAACACTCCCTACTCCTCCACTGGCTGAAGGTCTGCTCAGACTACAACTACCATAGTAACACTCCCTACTCCTCTACTGGCTGAAGGTCTGCCCAGACTCCAACTACCATAGTAACACTCCCTACTCCTCTACTGGCTGAAGGTCTGCCTGGACTACAACTACCATAGTAACACTCCCTACTCCTCCACTGGCTGAAGGTCTGCTCAGACTACAACTACCATAGTAACACTCCCTACTCCTCTACTGGCTGAAGGTCTGCCCAGACTCCAACTACCATAGTAACACTCCCTACTCCTCCACTGGCTGAAGGTCAACAAGACTCCAACTACCATAGTAACACTCCCTACTCCTCCACTGGCTGAAGGTCTGCCCAGACTCCAACTACCATAGTAACACTCCCTAACCCTCCACTGGCTGAAGGTCTGACCAGACTCCAACTACCATAATGACACTCCCTACTCCTCTACTGGCTGAAGGTCTGCTCAGACTACAACTACCATAGTAACACTCCCTACTCCTCCACTGGCTGAAGGTCTGCCCAGACTCCAACTACCATAATGACACTCCCTACTCCTCTACTGGCTGAAGGTCTGCCCAGACTCCAACTACCATAGTAACACTCCCTACTCCTCTACTGGCTGAAGGTCTGCCCAGACTCCAACTACCATAGTGACACTCCCTACTCCTCTACTGGCTGAAGGTCTGCCCAGACTCCAACTACCATAGTAACACTCCCTACTCCTCTACTGGCTGAAGGTCTGCCCAGACTCCAACTACCATAGTAACACTCCCTACTCCTCCACTGGCTGAAGGTCTGCTCGGACTACAACTACCATAGTAACACTCCCTACTCCTCCACTGGCTGAAGGTCTGCTCAGACTACAACTACCATAGTAACACTCCCTACTCCTCTACTGGCTGAAGGTCTGCCCAGACTCCAACTACCATAGTAACACTCCCTACTCCTCTACTGGCTGAAGGTCTGCCCAGACTCCAACTACCATAGTAACACTCCCTACTCCTCCACTGGCCGAAGGTCAGCCCAGACTCCAACTACCATAGTAACACTCCCTACTCCTCCACTGGCTGAAGGTCTGCCCAGACTCCAACTACCATAGTAACACTCCCTACTCCTCCACTGGCTGAAGGTCTGCTCAGACTCCAACTACCATAGTAACACTCCCTACTCCTCCACTGGCTGAAGGTCTGCCCAGACTCCAACTACCATAGTAACACTCCCTACTCCTCTACTGGCTGAAGGTCTGCCCGGACTACAACTACCATAGTAACACTCCCTACTCCTCTACTGGCTGAAGGTCTGCCTGGACTACAACTACCATAGTAACACTCCCTACTCCTCCACTGGCTGAAGGTCTGCCCAGACTCCAACTACCATAGTGACACTCCCTACTCCTCTACTGGCTGAAAGTCTGCTCAGACTACAACTACCATAGTGACACTCCCTACTCCTCCACTGGCTGAAGGTCTGCCCAGACTCCAACTACCATAGTAACACTCCCTACTCCTCTACTGGCTGAAGGTCTGCTCAGACTCCAACTACCATAGTAACACTCCCTACTCCTCTACTGGCCGATCCAGTCTAAGCATGTACCTGGATCTCCCATAGAGTTAGTAGGATCACAATATCACTAGCCCTGGTTACAATATCACTAACCCTGGTTACAATATCACCAACCCTGGTTACAACATTACCAACCCTGGTTACAATATCACTAACCCTGGTTACAATATCACTAACCCTGGTTACAATATCACTAACCCTGGTTACAACATCACTAGCCCTGGTTACAATATCACCAACCTTGGTTGAACCCTGGTTGACCATTCTGTTAGTATGACCACAATATGACCAACCCTTGTTCAATTCTGGTTCAACCCTGGTTCTGTTAGTATGACCACAATATGATCAAATCTTGTTCAACCTTGGTTCAACCCTGGTTCTGTTAATATGACCAACTCTTGTTCAACCTTGTGTAACTTGGTTCAACCCTGGTTCTGTTAGTATGACCACAATATGACCCAACTCTGGTTAAACTGCTCTGTTATGATGACCACAATATGACCCAACTCTGGTTAAACTGACCCCATGAATTCTGACCCCTCTGTTCCTCCTGTAATGATGACCCATCTGTTCCTCCTGTAATGATGACCCCTCTGTTCCTCCTGTAATGATGACCCCTCTGTTCCTCCTGTAATGATGACCCCTCTGTTCCTCCTGTAATGATGACCCCTCTGTTCCTCCTGTAATGATGACCCCTCTGTTCCTCCTGTAATGATGACCCCTCTGTTCCTCCTGTAATGATGACCCCTCTGTTCCTCCTGTAATGATGACCCCTCTGTTCCTCCTGTAATGATGACCCCTCTGTTCCTCCTGTAATGATGACCCCTCTGTTCCTCCTCCTCATCACATCCTTGTGTTCTCAGTAAATCCCAGCCAATTAGAGCAGTCCAGATGTGTGGTATTAGGATAGACTATAGGCTCTCACTACCCCATGACACCCTGCAGACCTGTACAACGATGTTAACATCAAATCACTTCCTAGGCTTGTTAAATATCAACATATTATATCATCTCCTAGGCATTTAAAAAAAGGGAATCTTGATTCTCTAAAGAGAATTTCAAGTTCAAGCAAACATTTGCTAGTTTTTTGTTCCTATTTCTTCCTTTAATACAACATGCTACAATTATACTGTTGTATCAATCCAGGACATGTGCCTGATAACAGTAGAAGGCACAGGACAGATACAGTGAGCTCCAAAAGTGTTGGGACAGTGATGTTGTTTTGGCTCTGTACTCCAGCACTTTGGATTTGAAATGATACAATGACTATGATGTTAAAGTACAGACTGTCAGCGTTAATTTGAGGGTATTTCCATCCATATTGCGGCGAATCCTTTAGAAATTACAGCACTTTTTGTACATAGTCCCCCCATTTTAGGCGACCAAAAGTATTGGGACAAATTCACTTTTATGTGTATTAAAGTAGTAAAAAGTTAAATATTTGGTACATCAACTTTGTGACTCTACACATTTGTTGGATGCATTTGCTGTTTGTTTTGGGTGTGTTTCATATTATTTTGTGCTCAATAGTAATGAATGGTAAATAATGTATTGTGTCATTTTGGAGTCACTTTTATTTTAAATAAGAATATAATATGTTTCTAAACACTTGACAATGATGAGTGAGAAAGTTACAGAGGCATAAATATCATAAATATCAGACCCCCCCAACATGCTAACCTCCCTGTTATTGTAATGGTGAGAAGTTAGCATGTCTTGGGGGTATGATATAAAAAGCTAACCTCCCTGTTATTGTAATGGTGAGAGGTTAGCATATCATGGGGGTATGATATAAAAAGCTAACCTCCCTGTTATTGTAATGGTGAGAGGTTAGCATGTCTTGGGGGTATGATATAAAAAGCTAACCTCCCTGTTATTGTAATGGTGAGAGGTTAGCATGTCTTGGGGGTATGATATAAAAAGCTAACCTCCCCTGTTATTGTAATGCTGAGAGGTTAGCATGTCTTAGGGGTATGATATATGTGCGTCTGTAACTTTCTCACTCATCATTATTCACGATTCTATCAGGACTATCGTAATCATGGTAGCATCCACATTAATGTGTAAGTGTTTAGAAACATATTCTATTCTTCTTTACAATAAAAGTGACTCCAAAATAACACAATACATAATTTACCATTCATTTCTACAGTCTGCACTTTAACCTCACAGTCATTGTATCATTTCAAAACCAAAGTGCTGGAGTACAGAGCCAAAACAACAAAACATGTCACTGTCCCAATACTATTGGAGATCGCTGTAGATAACAACATGAGTTAGAGGAGAGGGGTCTGATTACAATAGAAGGTACAGGACAGAGAGATAGAGGAGAGGGGTCTGATTACAATAGAAGGTACAGGACAGAGAGATAGAGGAGAGGGGTCTGATCACAATAGAAGGTACAGGACATAGAGATAGAGGAGAGGGGTCTGATTACAATAGAAGGTACAGGACATAGAGATAACAGCAGGAGTTAGAGGAGAGGTGTCTGATTACAATAGAAGGTACAGGACAGAGAGATAACAGCAGGAGTTAGAGGAGAGGTGTCTGATTACAATAGAAGGTACAGGACAGAGAGATAACAGCAGGAGTTAGAGGAGAGGTGTCTGATTACAAATAGAAGTACGGACAGAGAGATAACAACATGAGATAGAGGAGAGGTGTCTGATTACAATAGAAGGTACAGGACATAGAGATAGAGGAGAGGGTGTCTGATTACAATAGAAGGTACAGGACAGAGAGATAACAGCAGGAGTTAGAGGAGAGGTGTCTGATTACAATAGAAGGTACAGGGCAGAGAGATAACAGCAGGAGTTAGAGGAGAGGTGTCTGATTACAATAGAAGGTACAGGACAGAGAGATAACAGCAGGAGTTAGAGGAGAGGTGTCTGATTACAATAGAAGGTACAGGACAGAGAGATAACAGCAGGAGTTTAGAGGAGAGGTGTCGATTACAATAGAAGGTACAGGACAGAGAGATAACAACAGGAGTTAGAGGAGAGGTGTCTGATTACAATAGAAGGTACAGGACAGAGAGATAACAACAGGAGTTAGAGGAGAGGTGTCTGATTACAATAGAAGGTACAGGACATAGAGATAGAGGAGAGGGGTCTGATCACAATAGAATGTACAGGACATAGAGATAGAGGAGAGGGGTCTGATCACAATAGAAGGTACAGGACATAGAGATAGAGGAGAGGGGTCTGATTACAATAGAAGGTACAGGACATAGAGATAGAGGAGAGGGGTCTGATTACAATAGAAGGTACAGGACATAGAGATAGAGGAAGAGGGGTCTGATACAATAGAAGGTACAGGACATAGAGATAGAGGAGAGGGGTCTGATTACAATAGAAGGTACAGGACAGTAAGATAACATACTGAGTGTTTAGTGAGATGCGGTGTAACATCACTTGTCACGTCCTGCTCTTCCTGACTCCTCCTGCCACTCAGCCTGACTCATCATGGCTTCCATTAACATTCATTAGAGGGGGGAATTGTCATTTAATATGTGACGGAGGAAACTAAAATGCTCAAAGTTACAATTCTCCTCTTCTGGAATGATAACATGCCAGTAATCATGGAGCAGAGATAAACTAGCGATATTACAGGAGCTGTGTGGGGGAATTCTGATGTTAAACTGCTGCTCTTCAGGACACACATGCACTTGAGAGTTAATTCTCCAAACACTGAAAATAATAGAAAAGACTCTCTCTCTCTCTCTCTCTCTCTCTCTCTCTCTCTCTCTCTCACTCCACTCTCACTCTCACTCTCTCTCTCTCTCTCTCTCTCTCTCTCTCTCTCTCTCTTTCTCTCTCCCCTCTCTCTCTTTCGCTCTCTCGCTCTCTTTCGCTCTCTCTCTCTTTCCTCTCTCTCTGCTCTCTCTCTCTGTTCTCTTCTCTCTCTCTCTCTCTCTCTCTCTCTCTAATATTTGGCCAACAATTCTTTTTTTTATTTATTTATGGATGTTTAGAACATTTTGAAAGTTTAGAATGTTTAGGGGTCGTTCCACCAATTGGGTTCCTTTTGAGTAGTGTAGTAGTAGTGTAGTAGTAGTGTAGTAGTAGTGTAGTAGTAGTGTAGTAGTAGTGTAGTAGTAGTGTAGTAGTGTAGTAGTAGTGTAGTAGTAGTGTAGGTAGTAGTAGTGTAGTAGTAGTGTAGTGTTTGTTTCACCTAATTTTAACATTCTGTTAATAAAACAACATGTCTTCCCATCTCAAGAGGTTAAAGAAAAAAAATACTAAGCTAACAAATGGAATTGTTTTAAGATGGTCATACAATGGATCATTTAGCTATTTGATTTGGAATTTTAGGACCCCTTTAGGTATCAAAATAAAACCTTTACTACTATAGCCCACAGAAACCCATTGAATAACACATTCATAAATGGCAAAAAAGACAGTCCAAAATTAAATAATAAGGAATAATGTTTTGAAGTGTCTGTCTATATAAGACAGATCAGGACATATTTAACCCCTTACTTTTGTTGGCACAAAACTACCTCCATGCTTCCATTCGTTTGTATGAGTTACCTTCAGAGTCTCCCATTTCCATAGATGGGTCATAATAGTTTGTAGGCCAAACCGTTCGGACGCTACAGACGTTTTCATGACAAAACTAATTTTCGGGATGTCTCATGGTGTGACAAACACAGCTGTAGCTCAGCCACCTTCCACCGCAGATGGGGACGGTCAACATAGGCGGATGGGGACGGTCAACATAGGCGGATGGGGACGGTCAACATAGGCGGATGGGGACGGTCAACATAGGCGGATGGGGACGGTCAACATAGGCGGATGGGGACGGTCAACAAAGGCGGATGGGGACGGTCAACATCGGCGGATGGGGACGGTCAACAAAGGCGGATGCGGTGGACTGAGATGCAGTCCATGCAAAAACCTGATATCTCTAGCTTAAACTGACAGATTTTGATGTGGATTTTTTAATTATGTTACTTAGATTGACGCACGGGTGTGTCAATAGACTCTTAAAATGTTTTACATTTTAGTCATTTAGCAGATGCTCTTATCCAGAGCGACTTACAGTTAGTGAGCTACACGGGACTAAGGATTAAAACAAGAGTTCAGTTCACGTAACAGGGTTGACCTTAAAATGAGGGACAGTTATTATCATTGTTTTCTTGAAATGAATCACATTAAATAAAAAAGAATCAGCTGAAATTACTTTGTCAAAGCAACATAACAACATAACTAGGGCTTTACAATGATGCAAACATTTTGAGAAATGTTGGGGTTAGTGGGTTAAAATCTTCCTAGAAGTCACAGAAGGCGCACAGAGGGACATATCAAAATGCAGAATTCTGGCACTTTAGCAAGCCTTTATTCATATAAAAAAAATAGGATTTATTGAATTTACACATGGTCTCCCACCGGGTACACACAGGTTGAATCAACGTTCTTTCCACATCATTTCAGTGAAATTACGTTCAACCAATGTGGGCTTTATTAAAAGGCACTTCATTTAATATAACAGGCCTTTAAAATTCAATATTTTGCACGATTTCTACTTAAAATTTCAATGGGCACTCATTTCGTGGAACGACCCATAGACTGGTTAGAATGGGTTGTTATCAATAAGGTGCAGAGTATTCGATTTGCCTGTTGGGTTGTAATATCATCATCTCTTGAAGAACACAGAACTACAGATGTCAGATTATTCCACATTTAGCTCTATCATCAGAGTAACTGCATGCGGTTCATGATCAGTAAACAACAACATGAGGGTAGCCTGACGATATCTCTCAATATTGCCCACCATTGATTGGATATTTGAGTGATATAAAATAAAAGTTAACTTTACTTGACAAGTATGAGTGGTTTAGGTTCATTTCTTATCCTTTGTGGGCTCTTCCTGTCAAGCAGCAGAAGGGCGCATTTTACCGATGTACTGTTAGCTGATAATATTTACAAGCTACCGGTAGAAACTTTGTACAGGCTAAACACAGTGGTAAGTAAACCTAATATACTTTTTTCTCCAACCAACGTGAAGTTAGACATGATAGCTTGGCTTCATTGATTGATGGACCATGTCAAATTGGCTAGCTAGCTAATATCAGATCACGTCAATATGGCTTGTTAACAAGCTAACTTTCAGGGGATAAACTTGAACTTGATTTGCTTGCCATCTATAGTGGTGATGACAGAAGTCCGACTGACAACTTTACCAGGACAAGGACCTGCTGATGTCAATCTAAATGAAATATGTTGTTTGCTTAATTAGCTAGCTACATGCCAAATGGATAGGCTACCCTCAAGTCTCTGAAATTACATGATCATTTGATGTTTACTGTTCATGAAAAGCGTGCAGTTATTTTCTGTATAACTCTGATAGAGCTAAATGTGGAATAATCAGAAATGTGTAGTTCTGACTTTTCTCTTCAAGGTGTTGATATTAAAACCAAATAGTTAACGTTTATTTAACAATCCCTTGAAAACGGCACGCAGTTGTCAATGGTTTTAGCGGAGCTGCCCCCCAGCAGCCAAATCAAATGATCTGCTCCGTATTGTGACGTTTTATTGATAACAACCTATGGGGACAAACATATGGAACAGATCATTAGGATTCTCAGGTTCCAAATATATGAAATGTCTCCAGTCATGTTGGCTCATACATATCCAGAGGCTGCTAGGGCCTCATGTAATGTATGTCAATCACTGGAGCCAAAGAGATGTTGGATGAGTTGGTAAGAAAGCTTTGTTTTATGTTTCTGATGTCCTTCTTAAAAACTGTACAATTTTAATCTAATATTATACAAATGACAAGAACTGTAATATAATGAGCGAACTGAATCTAACTTAATGTTTTAGTTCTAATCCTTTGTTCAATATGTGTCTGTTTCAGCAAAGATAAAACTATATGGCTTAAAAATAAATGATGTCAATTTCTTTCTATTTTCCATAAATGTATTAATATAGATATGAATTGTTCCTTAGTATTGGTGTTTGCCAGTAATATCAAGTAGATGTAGCAACATTGCTATTTATCGCAGAGATTAAATTAGACTATTGTTTATTTTCTGCTAGCTTTATCTTGTTTCTAGTTATTGTTCTGTAAGATAGAAATAAGTGATCTGTTATGTGCATTGTGTAAGTAAAATGTTGATTTAAAAATATTTACTTTAATAGGGATTTGTTTTATTAAAATTAAATGTAAAAAATTGTTTGTAAAATCTATTTAGGTTTTTATGACATTAAACATGATTTGAACTTGGGACACAGAATGCGGTGGAATTGGTTCTGCTTACTATAAACTATGAAGATTTGTATAAATGGTATACAGTGCCTTGCAAAAGTATTCATCCCCGTTGGCGTTTTTCCTATTTTGTTGCATTACAACCTGTAATTTCAATGGATTTTTATTTGGATTTAATGTAATGGACATACACAAAATAGTCCAAATTGGTGAAGTGAAATTAAACAAATAACTTGTTTAAAAAAATACTAAAAAATAAATAACAGAAAAGTGGTGCGTGCATATGTATTCACCCCCTTTGCTATGAAGCCCCTAAATAAGATCTGGTGCAACCAATTACCTTCAGAAGTCACATAATTAGTTAAATAAAGTCCACCTGTGTGCAATTTAACTGTCACATGATCTCAGTATATATACACCTGTTCTGAAAGGCCCCAGAATCTGCAACACCACTAAGCAAGGGGCACCACCAAGCAAGCGGCACCATGAAGACCAAGGAGCTCTCCAAACAGGTCAGGAACAAAGTTGTGGAGAAGGACAGATCAGGGTTGGGTTATAAAAAATATCAGAAACTTTGAACATCCCACGGAGCACCATTAAATCCATTATTAAAAAATGGAAAGAATATGGCACCACAACAAACCTGCCAAGAGAGGGCCGCCCACCAAAACTCACAGACCAGTCAAGGAGGGCATTAATCAGAGAGGCAACAAAGAGACCAAAGATAACCCTGAAGGAGCTGCAAAGCTCCACAGCGGAGATTGGAGGATCTGTCCATAGGACCACTTTAGGCCGTACACTCCACAGAGCTGGGCTTTATGGAAGAGTGGCCAGAAAAAAGCCATTGCTTAAAGAAAATAATAAGCAAACACGTTTGGTGTTCGCCAAAAGGCATGTGGGAGACACCCCAAACATATGGAAGAAGGTACTCTGGTCAGATGAGACTACAATTGAGCTTTTTGGCCATCAAGGAAATCTCTATGTCTGGCGCAAACCCAACACCTCTCATCACCCCGAGAACACCATCCCCACAGTGAAGCATGGTGGTTGCAGCATCATGCTGTGGGGATGTTTTTCATCGGCAGGGACTGGGAAACTAGTCAGAATTGAAGGAATGATGGATGGCGCTAAATACAGGGAAATTCTTGAGGGAAACCTGTTTCAGTCTTCCAGAGATTTGAGACTGTGACGGAGGTTCACCTTCCAGCAGGACAATGATCCTAAGCATACTGCTAAAGCAACACTCGAGTGGTTTAAGGGGAAACATTTAAATGTCTTGGAATGGCCTAGTCAAAGCCCAGACCTCAATCCAATTGAGAACCTGTGATATGAATTAAAGATTGCTGTATACCAGCGGAACCCATCCAACTTGAAGGAGCTGGAGCAGTTTTGCCTTGAAGAATGGGCAAAAATCCCAGTGGCTAGATGTGCCAAGCTTATAGAGACATACCCCAAGAGACTTGCAGCTGTAATTGCTGCAAAAGGTGGCTCTACAAAGTATTGACTTTGGGGGGGTGAATAGTTATGCATGCACAAGTTTTCCGTTTTTTTGTCTTATTTCTTGTTTGTTTCACAAGAACAAATATTTTGCTATTTTAATTCGAGGTTGTAAGGCAAGAAAATAGGAAAAATGACAAAGGGGGTGAATACTTTCGCAAGCCACTGTATATGTTTTTAAAGTATACATTTCTATGATGTATTTTATTTGCATATATTTGCATATTAGATATGTGTCCAGAAGAGAGGTGATAGCCTCCTACATTATTTCTCCCCTGCAGGGAACCTCTCTATGCTACCATGTTCTGTTCTGTTCTACTCATCAGCAACACTCTCTACAC